TCCTAAAACACCTGAATTCCAAAAACTCCTACAATTCCGAAAAATTAAAAAAACTTAAAATCTCCTACAAACCCTTAAATCCAAAATTTCAAAATTTCCAAAAATTCAATCATTCCAAGAATTTTGAAAATTCAAAAGCTAAAATAGTTCCAAATATCCAAAATTTTCTAACTTCCAGATTCTAAAAATCACTAAAATTCCACGAAATTCTAAAATTCCTAAATTCCTAAAAATTCCAAAAGATCTAAATATCCGAAAATTGCAACAAAGAAATCATAAGATAAAATTCTGAAATTTCCTAAAATTCGAAAAATTCTGAATACCCAAAAATGCCAAAAAATCCAAGAGTCTCCCTTCCAAGTTCAATTTTTTGAAACCAGTTTTTTAAATTTTTGGCTAAATAATTTGAAATTCAAATTTCAAAAATTTCCTGAAATCTTGAATTTTCAGAAGCGAGCACAATACAGCTGTTGAGCGCACAAATGACGATAATTCGTTCAAAAATCATCTGATTCAAATGGCGACAAGTTTGAATTTTGCTGAGGTTCAAATGAAATATCCCAAGAATTTATTCTACGATTTTGAACTCGTTATTCGGAGCCTTTGTGTTATGGAAACTGAAAAAGAGTCAAATGAGGAATCAATTCTATGCCAAAGGAACGCGATGGGAGCAGTTATGCAAAAAGCGGCGGATTTTAAAGAGGACCTTTTGTTGCAAGAGGAAATGATCAGCAATATTATCGAATTCGCGAATCATTTGGATCCCAAAATTCTGATAGGACATTTTAATAAAAATGATTGGGCGTTCAAACAGACTTTGTGAGTTTTTATAGGCTTTGGAGAGTTTGATTTCTATCTACATTAAAACCTGTTATANAAGGGCTACTTTGAGTTCATTTATCTTGATTCCTATAAGAGCTATCNNCAAGTGAACAACTGACAAAANNGANTGTGATATCATAATAAACAATTNATCAGTTGACCAATTTTTGATATCTTTTACAGGAATCTAGATAAATTGGCTCAAAGTTGAATGTTAGGGGGNCCTTCTATAACAGGCTTTACGGTAATAANAGNTTTAGAAATCCAGAAATTCAGAAATTCAGGAGTTGCAGAAATTCAGAGGTTCAGAAATTCAGAAATTCAGAAATTCAGGAGTTCCAGAAATTCAGAGGTTCAGAAATTCAGAAATTCAGAAATTTAGAATTTCAGAAATTCAGATATTCAGAAATTAAGAAATTTAGAAATTCAGAAATTCAGAAATTCGGAAATTTAGAAATTCAGAAATTCAGAAATTCAGTAATTCCAGAAATTCAGAAATTCAGGAGTTCCAGAAATTCAGAGGTTTAAAAATTCAGAAATTCAGAAATTTAGAATTTCAGAAATTCAGATATTCAGAATTTAAGAAATTTAGAAATTCAGAAATTCAGAAATTCAGAAATTCAGGAAATCCAGAAGTTCAGAAATTCAGAAATTCAGGAAATCCAGAAATTCAGAAATTCAGGAGTTCCAGAAATTCAGAGGTTTAGAAATTCAGAAATTCAGAAATTTAGAAATTCCGAAATTCAGAAATTCAGAAGTTCAGAAGTTCAGAAATTCAGAATTTCAGAAATTCAGAAAATCAGAAAATCGGAAATTTAGAAATTCAGAAAATCGAAAATTCAGGAATTCAGATATTCAGAAATTCAGAAAATCGGAAATTCAGAAATTGAGAAATTCAGAAATTCGGAAATTAAGATATTCCAGCTAATTACAACGATTCTCAGTACTTCGAAGTTCCGTGATTCTGAAAACCGAAAAAAATTCCACAAGTCCTAGAAATTTAAGAATTTCAGGAAATCCCAGAAAACTCAAGAATTGGGAAGATCTGAACAGATTTTTCTTTTCGGACTCTGAATTTCAAGCAAAAAGCAATTTTTTAAATTTTTTCAGCAAATGAATTTTCACAACGATTTTTCAAGATTTGGTGGAAATTTGAAAAAATGTTTTTTCTGAAAAAAAAATTCACATAAAATCTTGAAATTAATTTTCCAGATATCTTCTCAATGTGGCAGAAGACCACTCCCATTTCCAAGAAATCACATTCACCTATCTCCTAAAAGTGATGCAATGCGTTCTCGAAGAGCACCTTCTACTCGGAGAAAGTCGAATTCTTCAAACGAAACCAACAGTTGACTCGATTTTGGATGCCTGTGTGGAATATCAAAAAAGTGAGGGTGCCGATGATTTGGAAATAATCAAATGGATGCGAAGGCAACAGGATAAGCCACTAGTTGCGGAATTCGCCTATTGGTATATGATAGCCTATGATCAAGAGAATGGAAGGGAGGATGTCGGATAGCTGAGGGTCCAGGGAAACGCCAGGAATTCGATAATTTTCAAGTTTCAACTTTCCGTTTCGTTCACTTTACTGGTTTTTTAAAAATCCAATTTTCCAATTATTCCAAGAGATATAATGTATTTCCGATCGCTCTCGATTTAATTTTATTTTTAAATTTCTAAAATCTCGTCTACATTATTTTTTCTCAAAAATCTCAATTTTTTCAACTGTGATCACTTTTAAACCCAACAATTTATTTTTTTAAAATCTGAATTTTCTGAATTTTTTGAATTTTTTTTTTTTTTGAGATTAAATCTCTCCAATATATATTTTTTTTGAATCTACAAATCTAGAATCTAAAATTCCATATCTTCTGTACATTTCCAAAAAATAATACAAAAATTCCTGTTTCTTTTAGAATTGCCTCCGTATTTTGATCTCTATTTTCCGAATGATATCTTTTTGTCAATCACTGTAACTTGATCTTTTTTTCTTGAAAATGAAATAAATTATGGAAATGAAAACGTTTTTTAAGCAGTTGAGGATTCCGATTTCTCATGAATAGAAAATACAGACAGAAAAATTGACTATTTCGAACTTTCTAGGGTTTTCCAGAATTTTCGATATTCAGATTTCATTCTATCCACTCCAATTCAAATGCAATTACACTATAATCAAACTTATCTCTCGATCATTTTATTTAAAAAATAAGAATGTGAATAAAAATGTTGTTTTCCTTTTTTTGTAAAGATAATACCGTAAAACCTGTAATAGAAGGGCCCCATTAACTTTTAACTTTGAGCCAATTTATCTTAGTTCCTGTCAAAGATATAGAAAAGTTATCAACTGATAAATTGCTTGTCATCATATTATGAACATTTTATCAGTTGACAGGTTTTTGATATCCACAGGAACCTAGATAAATCGGCTCAAAGTGGAATGTTAGGGGGCCTTCTATTACAGGCTTTACGGTAATGAACGTTTTTAGAAATTCAGGAATTCCAGAAATTCAGAAATTCAGAAATTCAGGAAATCCAGAAATTCAGAAATTCAGGAAATCCAGAAATTCAGAGGTTCAGAAATTCAGAAATTCAGAAATTTAGAATTTCAGAAATTCAGATATTCTGTATTTAAGAAATTTAGAAATTCAGAAATTCAGAAATTCGGAAATTTAGAAATTCAGAAATCCAGAAATTCAGAAATTCAGGAATTCCAGAAATTCAGAGATTCAGAATTTCAGAAATTCAGAAATTTCAGAAATTCAGGAAATCCAGAAATTCAGAAATTCAGAAATTCAGAAATTCAGAAATTCCGAAATTCAGAAATTCAGAAATTCAGAAATTCAGTTTTGAAATATGAGAGATCACAAATTGATACCAACTCATCGAATAATTATCATTTGTTTTCATTTGTGGTAAGTAAAAATCTTTCCAACTCAAGAATCGTGGAAAATTCGCTCTACTGAGAAATCGATGAATTCCGAATAGAGCCCATTTTCAGAATCGGATTTTGAAAATCATAAATTTTGGAATTTTAGACGTTTCGTGTTCAAAATCAAAACATTAAAAGTCTCTAATTCGGTTCAGTTTTAAAAGGTAATGGTTTAAATTTGTCCAATTTTCTAAAATTTTCGATTTCCAGATCTCTCCGTTCAAATAAAATGCAATCACTCTTCGCTATAATCAAACTCATTTTTCTATCATTTTATCAAAAAAAAGTTCAATGAAAATATTGATTTTTCTTTGCTGTTTTTTTGGCACTATTTTTGAAGTCAATGGTAGCTCCGCCCCTTTTTCATGGAATTATCAATAGCCAATGCGTTCTATCTTCAAATTTAAGGTTATTTTCGGAAGTTATGGCCTAAAAGGATTCGTTTTTTGAAGTCAAAAATTTGGTTTAGGAGTGACGGAGTTGGAGAAATTCGCTTTATTGAGAGAGAAAAAAGAATCCGGTGTTTCGCAATGGAGCGCATTTGAAAATGTGAAAATATTTAGAAAAAAAAAGAAAAATCAGATCGAGAAATCGACTTCGAGGGGGGGGGGGGGTTGAGAAGCGTTGTTCCGTATTGTTCAACATAGAAAAAATGGGAAAAATGAGTAAATATTGATTTTTGAGGAATTTGGAAATGATTTTAGCATAGGGGGATGAGGAATTATTTTTGTCAAAATTCGAAAAAAATTGAAAAAAAAAAGTTAGGTGTAGCTGAGAAGTCCCTGGATTCGGTTGAGGAATTTCTCCATACGATTGCGGAATTGAACTCTGAAAAATGAAAAAAAAAATCTCATTTGTGCAATAGAGCGCATTTACCGTCCACGTCGATTTCCAGCTTCTGGAGCCACTTCCATGAGCTCGGTGAACGCCGACTCCAAAACGGCCCGCCCCTTTTCGTTGGATCGATTTGACAGTAGTCCGTTGACGTATTCATCGAAGAAGGACTGCAAAAATTATATAGTAATTGCGCTCTATTGATAAAGCCTTTTTTATCAATCGAGCGCATTTTAGAACTACAGTAACACTTTTTTTTTAAACTCACTCTTTCAAATGCGATAATCGCGTAGAGTGCCGAACACGATTCGGCGTAGATGCTGTTCTCACAGGTGTTGGAGAGGCACGTCTCGAAGACGGTCTGGAAATCAAAAATTTCAAATTTTAAGACTTTCAGAATTTTGGAATTTCAAAATTTCAGAATTTCGGAACTTCAGAATCTCAGAAATTTTGGAAAAATTAAGATTTTCGAAATTTCCGATTTTCAGATATACAGGTATTCAGAAGCTCAAAGTCACCGTATTTTCAGGATTTTAGAGTTTTCAGATTTTCGTAATCTCAAAATTTCAGATTTCCAAAATACAAGAATAATAGAACCCTAGAATCTCAGAATCTCAGAATCGCTGAACCTCAGAATCGCAGAATTTCAGAATCTCAGAATTTCAGAATTTCAGAATCTCAAAATTTCAGAATAATAGAATCTTAGAATCTCAGAATTTCAGAATTTCATAATTTCATAATTTCAAAATTTCAGAATCTCAGAATTTCAGAATCTCAGAATCTCGGAATTTCAATATTTCAGAATCTTAGAATATCATAATTTTTGGGACATCTTGAGCCGTTTTCATGGTTTTTTGAAACTTTTCGGTCTAAATTGGCTGAAAATGTCTTAATTTTTTCAAGATTTTCAGACATTTTCAGGGGCTGTTTTTAGCTTGTTTTCAGTCATTTTAAGACCATTTTTATTGGTTTTCGGATCATCTTTTTAGTGTTTTAAGCTATTTTGAGCATCTTACCGGAAGCATTTCCTTGAAGAGCATCGCCAAATTCTGCGTACACCGTCCCTTGTTCTGGTCGACACCAAAATGAAGGACCACCTCAGTCAGCGATTCCAGAGAAGTCGATGTGATTTCCATTCCAAATTGGCCAGTCATACCGAGCTGCAAAATTTCGGATTTTTAAAAATTTCGGAACTTCAGAATCTCGAAATTTCAGACTTTCAAAACTTTAAGAACTCAGAATTTCAGAATTCCATATTTTCCGAATTTTAGAATTCCAGGATTTTAGATTTTTAAACTTTCACAATTCCACATTTTTCGAATTTTCAAAATTCCAGAATTTCAGATTTCTAGAATTTTAGATTTTTAGAATTCCAGAAATTCGATATTAAAAATTTGCAGAATTGCTGATTTTTAGACTTTTGAAGTTTTAAAACATCAAAATTTCAGAATTCCATATTTTCGAAATTTCAGAGTTTCAGATTTTTAAAATTTCAGAATTCCAGAATCTTAGATTTTTAGAATTTCAGAATTTCGACTTTTCACATTTTTTTTTGATTTTGAGAATTTTAGAATTTCCGTATTTTCAGAATTTTAGAATTCCAAAATTTCAGAGTTTCAAAATATTAAAAATTCCAGATTTTCAGACTTTTCGAATCTCAGATTTTCAGAAGCTCAGTATTTCAGGATCGAGGAGTTTCAGAATTTCAAAACGTTAGAAACTCGGAATTTCAAATTTTCAGAAACTCAGAATTTCAGATTTTTAGAATTTCAGATTTTCCGATTTTTGGAATTCAATATTCTTAGAATTACAGAATCCACAGAATCCTCAGAATTTCATATCCTACCCACCTTGATACACTGACACAACGACGCCATGAGTTGATCGGACATCTCGGCCAGCGATTCTGGAGAGAATTCGACGAGATACAAAATGAGACGGAAGAATTTCAAAGCGACTTCTGGCATCTGGAGGACACGGTCGTTCATGATGGTTAGGAGCATTTCCAGGGAGTGGATGACCACTTTGGCGCCAGTGGAACAGTTTTCTTCTCCCACCGTAAGGAAGTCTTTGGAGAGAACGTTCGAGAGAATGTCGATGAACAGGGCCTGGAAAAAGAGGGTATTTCAGGAAGTCAATTTATCTCGGTCCCTTTGAAAGATATCAAAAATTTTTCAACTGATAAAATGTTAATCACAACCTTATCAACATTTTATCTGTTGACCACTTTTTGATATCTTGTGCAGAAATTGAGATAGATAGACTTGAAAATGATGCCAATTTTTTTCTCATCAATTCGGAAAATTAGGATAAACTGATAGTGAGGTTACTGTAGCTTTTTGCAGGATTACTGTAAAACCTTGAAAAGCCGATAAATGAATTTTGTATGTTGTGAGCTTCAAAATGAGTATAAAAATGCAGAGTGAAATTGCTCAGAATTGAGATATCTATACACGATCCGAGCTTTCGTTTGAATACACTCTTGATTACATTTGAAAACGTTTTTGGATTACTGTAGTTTTGTCTGTTCTACTAAAACTACGGTATCTCAAGCTACAGTAATCCTAGAAACATGAAAAATACACCAATCGACTCGGTTCGTTGTTAACTTTCGATTGAATACACTCTTGATTATATTTGAGAAAGTTTTTGGATTACTGTAGTTTTGACTTCTCCACTAAAACTACCGTATCTCGAGCTACAGTAATCCTAGAAACATGAAAAATACACCTATCGATTCGGCTTGCTGTGAGCTTTCGATTGATTGTAATAATGACTAGATTCTGAATATTTTTGGATTACTGTAGTTTTGACGTTTCTACTAAAACTACCGTATCTCTAGCCACAGTAATCCTAGAGAAACAAATCTGGAAGCATTCGATGGCTCAGATTATGTTCTTTCAGACGAGTCTAACTATTTTGAAAAAATAACTTTCTGGGTTACTGAAGCTTACCAAGTCCACCGCCTTATCCTCGTCATCGGTGTTAAAATGAGTGAATCTCTTGATTTGATCATTTCGATACGAATCGACAATTTGAAGAAGCGACGAGTAGAGTGCATTAGATTCGTCTTCATTGTCAATGTAGATGGATACTTTAGTGGTAACGTCCAGAATCAGTTGGAGGATATTTGAGACTACGGTCTCGTTCTGGCTTCGACTACGCATCAGGCCAACGCATTGTTCAATGATGGCGTACAGGAATTCTGAAAGAAAATATCAGTTTTTAACGTTTTTAGAGTCATTTTGCATAATTTTAGACAATTTTGAAATATTCGAAAAAAATTTTTTTTCGAAATTTTGTAGTTCCGACTTCTCTACTAAAGCTACTGTATCTCGAGCTACAGTAATCCTAGAAATATGAAAAATATACCAATCGACTCGACTTGATGTCAGTTTTCGATTGAATATACTCATGACTGGGTTTGAGAATTTTTTTGGATTACTGTAGTCTCCTCTGTTGCACTAAAGCTACCGTATCTCAAGCTACAGTAATTCTAGAAACATGCAAATTATATCAATTGACTCGAATTGATGTCAGCTTTCGATTGAATATACTCATGACTGGGTTTGAAAATTTTTTTGGATTACTGTAGTCTCCTCTGTTGCACTAAAGCTACCGTATCTCAAGCTACAGTAATTCTAGAAACATGCAAATTATATCAATTGACTCGAATTGATGTCAGCTTTCGATTGAATATACTCATGACTGGGTTTGAAAATTTTTTTGGATTACTGTAGTCTCCTCTGTTGCACTAAAGCTACCGTATCTCGAGCTACAGTAATTCTAGAAACATGCAAATTATATCAATTGACTCGAATTGATGTCAGCTTTCGATTGAATATACTCATGACTGGGTTTGAGAATTTTTTTGGATTACTGTAGTCTCCTCTGTTGCACTAAAGCTACCGTATCTCAAGCTACAGTAATTCTAGAAACATGCAAATTATATCAATTGACTCGAATTGATGTCAGCTTTCGATTGAATATACTCATGACTGGGTTTGAAAATTTTTTTGGATTACTGTAGTCTCCTCTGTTGCACTAAAGCTACCGTATCTCAAGCTACAGTAATTCTAGAAACATGCAAATTATATCAATTGACTCGAATTGATGTCAGCTTTCGATTGAATATACTCATGACTGGGTTTGAAAATTTTTTTGGATTACTGTAGTCTCCTCTGTTGCACTAAAGCTACCGTATCTCAAGCTACAGTAATTCTAGAAACATGCAAATTATACCAATTGACTCGAATTGATGTCAGCTTTCGATTGAATATACTCATGACTGGGTTTGAAAATTTTTTTGGATTACTGTAGTCTCCTCTGTTGCACTAAAGCTACCGTATCTCAAGCTACAGTAATTCTAGAAACATGCAAATTATACCAATTGACTCGACTTGATGTCAGCTTTCGATTGAATATACTCATGACTGGATTTGATTTTTTTTTGGATTACTGTAGTCTCCTCTGTTGCACTAAAGCTACCGTATCTCGAGCTACAGTAATCCTAGAAACATGCAAAATATACCAATCGACTCGACTTAATGTTAGCATTCGATTGAGTATACTCATGACAAGATTTGGGAGAAATTTTGGATTACTGTAGTTTCGCCTGATTCACTTAAACTTCCGTATCTCGAGCTACAGTAATCCTAGAAAAATGAAACTAGAAGCGTTCGATTTCTCAGGTTACGCGCTTTCAAAGAAGTTTAATCATCAAGTTAGAAGATTGCTTATTTCCATATCTAGGTCACTTTTCAATTTCCCCCACGTGCCTTTACTTTTCCTTGGATTTTGAATTTGGATTGGGCTTTTTGAAAGGGACCCCTGGAATCTTGAAAGGGACCCCTGGAATCTTTTCCCCGACCTGAAAGGGACCCCTGGAATTTTGAAAGGGACCCCTGGAATCTTTTCCCCGACCCAAAATCCCAATTGCCGGAACCGCTGTTGCCAAAACGAAGATGAACAAGTCCCCACCCGCACACACTCAAGCAAACGACTGGAACCAGCCGACGACCCAAACGAGACCAAACCAAGAACACACCATACCAACAAGTACCAACCTCACCATCAGCTTCTCTCGGATGGAGGAGCCTCTTCTCTGCGGAGGTTAGTTAGTTGGGTATACTGTAGTTTCGGATCTATAACGTCTAACTTAGGATAGCTTAGGACCTTAGGACCATTTAGCTGCCTTGTTGGTGCTTATGATCGCTTAGGATCTCCTTAAGATCCTTAAGTTCTGTCTAGCACTGACCATAGGATCTAGCTTAGGATCACTAGGATCAAGCCTCTTTTCAGCGGAGATTAATAGTCGGTATACTGTAATAATTAATAGTCGGTATACTGAACCACTAGGATCGTTAGGAGTGGGTATACTGTAGCTGGCTCGTCGAGGATAGCTTAGGATCATTAGGATCGCTTAGTTGCTTGCCGGAGCGTGGGGCCGCTTAGGATCTAGCTCGGGATGCTTAGGATCTAGCATCTTCTCTGCGGAGGTTCGTGTTAGGTATACTGTAGGCAGCTCGGGAGCTAGCTTAGGATCTAGCTTTGCATTCAGATTAGGAGCCTTAGGAGCTAGCCAACGATCTAGCTGAAGATCATAGCATCTCTAGCTTAGGATTCCTAGGATCACTAGGACCTAGCTTAGCAACCAGCTTAGCTAGCTTAAGATCATTAGCTTCAGCATTTACAGCCCAATCCAATGTATCCCATTTTCCAGAAGACCCAAGGTACCCTCCTGATGGGAATCCACGAGGCGTAGACACGACACAAGACCATCCAATCGACACCGACCGGAACTAATCGGAACGAAATGAACAAAACAAAAAAAAGATGAAGGACGCCTACCACCCGCCCATCCATCCACGACCTCCTCATCATCAGATGAAGAGGTTGCCAATGGACTGAAGATGTCGGATGTAAAAAGAAAAAAACAAGCAAATAAAAGATTGTGTGTATGCTCTTCTTGTTGTTTTGGTTTTTGAGGACATGATAAGCTTGGGGTCAGACATTTAGGAAGCGGATAATTGCCGTTTGTCGGCTGTGAGTCTAAACATGCCTTTGAACTGCTCAGAATTGAAATACTCAGGTCTCACCACGTAAACTACCGTATCTCAGGCTACAGTAATCCTAGAAATATGAAATTTGGACCAATTGACTCGTCTTGTTGCTAGCTTTCGATTGAATATACTCATGCCTAGATTTCGAGAAATATTTGGATTACTGTAGTTTAGACTTTTCCACTAAAACTACCATATCTCGGGCTACAGTAATCCTAGAAATATGAAATTTGGACCAATCGACTCGTCTTGTTGCTAGCTTTCGATTGAATATACTCATGCCTAGATTTCGAGAAATATTTGTATTACTGTAGTTTTGACTTTTTTCACTAAAACTATCATATCTCGGGCTACAGTAATCCTAGAAATTTCGTAAAACTACCAAAACGATCAGAAAACCAAGGAGAATGTTTTATAACGCTCTAACTGTTTTTCCAGTCAATCAGATTTTCAGACACTCCCAGAAGACACCAATGGAATTGAATTGAACTATTTTATGGCTTTTTTCATTTTCTTCAATAAATGATTCAATAAAGTTTTCTAAATTTTCTAAAATTGTAAATTCTGCTAATTGGATTCAAAATGAGTGCCTCAACTTCAAAAAATTCAAATTTCCCGCCACAACTTGTCCACAAGGAGTCCAAAACTCGTTTTAGAGAAAGTGGGTCGGTATTATACTCATTTTGAAGCTCTAGAAAAGCTCATTCTGAATATTTCAATCTGGAAGGGATAATCAAGATTTTGACTAGGCTCCGCCCCCTTTTTCCCGAAACTCACTGAAAAGAACGGGTGCCGAGTGGCTCTGACTGGCTTTGGCGACACCATCGAAGCACTGTAGATAGTCGACAATTTGAGAATCGACTTCTGTTTGGCTGGGCACCGAGACGGCA